CACACACACACACACACACACACACACACACACACACACACACACACGCACACACAGAGCGCATTAAGAAAGCCAAAGTGAAGATAATCACCAAAGGAATATGCCAGATGTATTCTGCTTCATGTAGCTTGACATCAAATTAAAATTTAAAACTGTTTCAGTGTTGGATTGGCTCATCTCAAGTGTTCTTCATCGCCTGCTAGAGATAAAGCTGCTTTGATTTTGGATCTACTCTTCTGGGTGGAACAGAGACTATTGTGGTGACAATCTACAACACACACCACCCCGCCCCCACCTTGCCACCCCGCCCTGTGACCCCACTCCTGCCCCTTCCCCCGCCTCCGTGACCCCGCCCTCTGTCCCTGCTCCCAGCCCCATCCTGTCCCCGCCCAGCCCTGGCCCCACCCCGGGCCAGAATTGTGACTATTTGCGGGGTCCCCAAACTTGTTTTTTTCCCCTCTCCGAGCAGGGATCATGCACTCACGGTGCAACCCCACTCTTTTTTCAAAATTTTAATTGTTTTTTTTTTTTTTTTGGTGGCGGGGGGCGGAATACTTTCCAGGGTTGGGGGCTCCCTTCCTTGGACCCATGGCAGGGACCCGCATGCAGGGGTCAACAGCCCTGCTTCGAACTTTGGCGGGCTGTTCATGATTGTGATGAGTCAGTTTTAAGTCAGGAGACAATGCGGCTCACTACCAGCTGCAAAGTTGGTTTAATGATCCATCAGTTGAAAGCAGTTCTACATAGATCACAGGCAGAGGCTCGTATGTGGGCCATGAACAGTCACTGTATTCATATTCGTTCTTTTCATCATCATTGGTTCATTAAACTCGTCATTTTCTCTTGTGATCAAATTGCCAATATGACTAGCTATGTTATGATATTGGTCAGAGTCCGTCAGACTTTGTATGGCAAATGCTTCGATCATTCTCAGTTGCTTCACTTCAGTACGTGAAGTTCGTCGCAAAATTAAGGAAAATGGAAAAGCATGTCCCTGACAACCCAGCCCTTGTGCAATGAACTGCAGGCACCCCAGATTACCTTGCACCGGAGATCATCCTAAACAAGGGGCATGGAAAGCCAGTTGACTGGTAAACGAAATATCTGTTCACCCTCATGACATATTGACCCTTTCACCCTCGGCCACTTACTCATTTCACAGGGCAGTAAACCTCTTGATACCTTATGTTTCTGCCAATGTCATTTGTATGAGTAGGAGTTCATATATTGCTTGGTGTAATGACACGCCTTAACACAGACTTAGAACACTGCTGATTTCTGATGTTCTGCCGATGGAATGGATGCCTTGCTGAGATTCCCGCGTTCTGCTGAGTTTTCTAAGTCTGTATGTGTGCGTGCTTGTTGACCTGCGTGCCTGTCTGAGTGCTTGTCGGCATGAGTGTGTGTGTGACCCGCAAGGGTACTTGCTTGTTTGGCAGGCCCGTAGGGCCGGTACTTACCTGTGGCCGTGGCATTGAGGGTTGCAGCAGAGGAAAACACTCAAGTAGCAGGTAAGCCGGTACTGCACCCAGTAGCAGTAGATGTGACGGGTACTCGAGGCCGAGCAGAAGAAGACAAAGTTGGCATTTTTAGAGGCCCAGTAGCGGTAGGCTAGGTCTAGGCCGGTACCAGTCCATCCAGCCTGAGTCTAGAGCCTGTACGGGCAATATCAGAGTCTGCAATGATGTTTCCCTCCGAAAGGGAGGAGGTACCGGTTGCTTGGGAGGCCGAGCGGCCTGGAAGTCACCACCCAGGAGGCAAGTAGGCCGCTATATCAAGAGGCCAGGGGAAGAGCCCGG